AACTTTTACTTTGAATATCCATCCATCCATGGATTTATTATTCTATCATCTACTTATTTATCCATCTATCTATTTTATCTATCTTTACATCCATTCACTTATGTATGATGTTTTATTATAGGCTATACACAAGGTTAAGAACTCAACTCCTTTTTGGTGGTGGCACTGGGAATCAAACCCAGTGCCTGCTAAGCAAGCGCAAACGACCTCCTTAGGCACACGACTCAACTTTAAAAGCATTTCTATGGTCTTTGGTCACCTTATCTTTAAATAAATGGTAACACATTCCATATGAGACGGCTGCTAACACACGAAGGACTTAGCATCACGCCTTCACTATGATGTGGGTTATGTCCTTATCTTCCCAGCTGCCCTGGGCTGTGTCTCTTGACTTGTCCACGCTGGGCATTTGTTTGGTGCTTGGAAACATTTTTGTGTGTGTGTAGTGTGGGACTGCGTATAAACTTTATGATCTTTAGCACTATGATGGCTCTTTCCATATGTAAAACAGTCCTAAAAGAAGGTGAAATATGGACTGTTAGAGATGCTTCAATAAAATCCTGATAACCTTTTTAAAAAATATTGTTATTGATTTGAGAATTTCATGAAGTGTGTTTTGATCATTTTCAGACCTTCCCTCCTCTCCATCCCCACCTTACACCCCCAAGCTTCATGTTCTGTATTATTATTCTTTTTTATTTATTATTTTTATTTTATGTGTATGTGTGTATTGCCTGCATGTAGGTAAGTGCACCCGTGTCGTGCAATACCTGCGGAGGTCAGAAGAGGCTGTCAGATCCCCTGGAACTGGAGTTATGGACAATTGTTAGCTGCCATGTGGGATTCAAACCCGGGTCTTCTGCAAGAACAGCCAGTGTTCTTAACCACTGAGCCATCTCTCCAGCCCCCTATTATTCTTTTTTTAAGGCTTATCAAGTCTAATCTGTGTTTCCCAAGTGCTCTTGGGTATGGGTCTATCCCTTAGAGTCTGATCAACCTACCAGATGTTACACTAGTAAGGAAAACTGCCTCTCCCTCTCTCAACATCTATCAGTTGTCAAGAGGTCCTCAGCTAGGGCTAGGACTTCCTGCCCACCCCCCCCATCCATGCTGAATTTTTGTCTGGCGTGGGTTTGCACAGATCTTGTGCATGCTGTCATAAGCTCTGTAAGTTCATAGGTGCAACTACTCGATGGTGCCCTTGTAGTCATCAGCCACCATTTCTGGCTCTTACAATCTTTCTGCCCCCTCTTCCACAATGATCCCTGAGCCTTGGGAGGACAGAGTGTGATATAGGTGTCCCATTTGGGGCTGGTCATTCTGAAATCTTTTATTTTTCACTGCTGTGTAAACTTTAAAACAAAATTAGAAATAAGCTTATTAATCATTACCAATTCTATATATCACACGAGAATAGTTGGGCTAGTAGAACTTAGACACAAAAATGACACATGGGCTTCCTGAGAGTTTTGTAGATGACTCAGAAGATGGCTCCCTTAAGCTATCTTCAGATTCCCCACCCAAGGTCACTGTCTTCCAGGCAGGCCATGGAGCTGTGGCAAGCCTGGGGGGCATGATGGGGCACTTCAGCCCAGGCCAGGGCAGAAGCCCCACGCATGTGCACCAGGGAAGAGCATCTGCAGGCTCACGGAAGATTACACAGATGGGTCCCAGAGAGCTGCATCCCAGCTCATGGGTCTTCCCTGGCAAACTACCAGATCCTCACCAGGGGGTGAGGAGGCCACTGCCTTCAGAGAGAGGAGGCTGCTTCTGTGGAAAAGAGGAGGCCACCATGGAAGTTGAGGAGGAGGCCTCTGTCTTCAGCAGCCCAAGGCCCTGTCTCCTCTGCTCGTTCTGTGCCACCCCTACCTGGGTGGGACAGGTACAAGGGAAAGGGAGGGGAAGAAGGTTTGTAGACTATATCCTCATTGCTGGGTTGATAAGGGAGACAAAGAGGACTTAAAGTAGAATGTAAGTTTATATTTTAAGAAGTAGCATTATGGAAACTTTCCATCGAATAACATGCCCAGGTATAGTTGTGCATGCCTTCAATCCCAGTACTCAGGAGGTGGAGGCAGGAGGATCTTCAACTCCAGGCTAGCTGAATAGCTACATAGCAAGATTAGGTCTCAATTTTTTTTTTAAATTCTGGGGGCTGGAGAGACAGCTCAGTGGTTAAGAGCATTGGCTGTTCTTGCAGAAGTCCTGGATTTGAATATCAGTATCCACATGGCAGCTAACAACTGCCTATAACTACAGTTCCAGGGGATTCAACGCCCTCTTCTGACCTCCATTGGCACTTACATACATGTAGGCATAGCATTCATATACAAAATAAAAAAATATTTTTAAATAAAAAATTAATTCAGGGGGCTGGAGAGATGGCTCAGTGGTTAAGAACACGGTTATTCTTGAAGAAGACCCAGGTTTGAATCCCAGTACCACCACTAACAACTGTCTGTAACTCCAGTCCCAGGGGATCCGACAGCCTCTTCTGACCTCTGCGGGCATTGCATGACATGGGTGCACTTACC